AGCTTTGTTGACTTTGGCCTGCAGTGAGTGTAGGTCCATACAGTACGGATATAATCACCCACTTTTCTATCAGCTTAGAAATTACCTTAGTATACTATACACACACTGACATGGCATGTTTAAGGAGCTGTAAACCCAAACATATACAGCCAAACTAATGTATACAAAATGTAAGGGTATTTCACTTAGGAGACATATAATAAAATTGCTTAATCTTTTTTAAAAATAAAAAATTATATGGGAATTGCCTGGTGGTCCAGTGGTTAGGACTCGGTGCTTTCACTGCCATGGCCCGGATTCAATTCCTGGTCACGGAACTAAGATCCCGCAAGCTGCAGAGCACAGCCAAAATATAAAAAAATCTGTATATTTAAAAAAAAATTATGTGACTTCTTTGATTACCATATTTAATCAATATTCACAGAGCAGCTGTGCCACTTGACTTTTGCCTATACCTCCCCAAAAATCAATTCTCAAAGGATTAAATTTGCCACCAAAAAGATACTCATGAGAATGTGCCATAAATTCTGATGACAGTACCCCAAATTGGTTTACTTTAAGCAAAGAATCATTGGAATATGTGTTTACCTTGATGTTGAATCATATTTAAAATGCACTACAGAGATGTCCATCTAACAAATATTACATAATGAATTCCCTTAGAAGTAATGAGCCCTTAATTTATTTTCTGTTACAATTTGAATTTCCACAAAGGCTTTTTAACTATGTGTTTACTTGTATCTTGTATTGATTACCCCCAATAGCTAGAAGCAGAGATAATGAATTAGAGCTGCCCTTTTAGCTAATAATGTGTTCCACATTCATGCCAGTCTTTGACCCTTTCCTTTTGATCTACAAATATTTTGAAACTCTTCCTGAATCCATATACAATGCTATTCTAAAGTGAATGGATGTTAGCTATAATGTGCTTGACTGGTAATGTTTTTGTGGTTTTGTGTCTATTCTCCCTCCCCGACCCCACCTCGGTATAGGGTCATGGGGTTGAAGTTTACTCTTACCAAATGTCATAACTTTCCTAGAAGTGCATTGCCAATAGATAACTGAATATTGCATGTTGCCCAAAAGGACTTCATATCTAAAGAGCATGCATTACTAATAAAGTGACTTAGAGTAAGATATTGGCCTGGCTTTAGATAAAACTGAAGCAAGAAAACTGTAATAAGCACTATATGGAAATAAACCCACTTTTGTTAAATGTTTCTAGAATGTTTTTAATAAAGTTGAATAGTCATACAATTATAAGTCACTATGGTTTGTTAACACAAAGTTAAAATATTTTCATGCAGAAAATATTCATGCAGATGTTGTAAACAGCCATACAATCGATGGTGTGGGCACAGAACAGGGTCACTGTCTACAAAAAACTCTACTTTTCAGTTATTCTATTGTTCTAACTTCAACCCTCTGGGTCTTTAAGACTCCTATGTTTAGAGGGTCCTGTGATGAAATCAGTATCCCTGAGGGGAAGGGACCTTCATCACACACTTGAAGTCTTTCTACGTTGATGCCTGAATTCCAGTTTTCACCTTGGTAGAGACACCCAAGATCTGGTTGCAGGCAGGTAGAGAGCACTTTGGGCGGGCAAATAAGTCCCAAGTGTGAAGAAGAGTCGGTAGTATGGACGGTGGGAGAAGGCCAAGGAAATTGTCATAGTTTCATAATTTCACCAACCACCATAGTTATATCCGGAAGACTGATTTTACGAGTCTTTCTAAAACGGAGGCTCTGAAAAGGAGATAGTAGGTAGGTGTCATGGGAAATTGAAATATATCATCTAAGCAACCAACTTTAAAATTCTAAACCCCAAATGAAGGCAAACTCTACAAATGAAACACATGGGTGTATGCTTGCTGCGGAAATGCAGTACAGGGTGGAATAGCTTCACATAATGATTAGGTTGGGTGATTTTCCAGTGTAGAAAAGGCTACGTTTGAACCTTGGACAACGAATAACTTATACTGAAGGAATTTTATTGAGCATATTGTGAGTAAAAAGCCGAAGTCAATAATATTCAAACAGAGGATAGAATGATCAAATGTAAACTACAAAGGGCCTGGCTGGAATTGATAAACATCTACTCTTGTGCAAAGGTACTGTGGTATTCCAGGAGTGACTCAGCATTTAAAGTACAAGTCTTACCTTCCATGAGTTTTCAGCTCAGTGGAGGAAGATAAGTAAAAAGGGGAAGTGCATGGATGTGTGGATGAAGAATATCAGAAAATCACTTGCCACATCAGTAAACAAAGGGTATTGCAGCCATCAGGCCATCAGCTACTGCAGCTGTGAGCTGTGAGGGGACTCAGGATGGAGAAAAACAGGATCCTGGCCCTAGATAGCTAAGGTGCACATCAAAGGCACCTGTCACCTGCAGATGCCCAGGTGTTACAGGACTTTTCCCCAGTCTTCTAGGAAGGGAGGATGGGAACTCAGCCTTATCAGAAACTAGAAAGCAGATACCAGACCCGAATTCGAGTTCTCTGCCCACCAGAGGTGATCAGGCTCCATCCCTCAGGTCAGGCTGAGGCCCTTCAACCAGACTCCTGCATCCAGGACCAGGACAGAAGAAAAAAGGGTAGGATAGGAGGGGTTGAAAAGAGGAAAGGGAGCGGGAAGGGGAAAGAGGTCAATAAAGTTCTTTACTCAGAGTTCCTTGTTGGGGCTCTCTGGCCAGTCGTCTGAGTCAGGAGGAGACCAAGGATAAAACGGTCCTGGTTGTGGCCTCTGAGTCTGGTCTGTCAGCAGGCAAACTGGTCCCTGAGTACTCCGAGCGGTCAGGATGTTAGTCACAGAGAAGAAGAGATCCTGCCAGAGTGGCCATTTTTTGCAGGAAGGGGGACCCCTTCCAGGGCCCGGGAGTGGGCTCTTGTCTAACACTTAGAAATGAATCGTCCGAGAAGACACGTGCTGACAAAGCAAGAGACTTTATTGGGAAGGGCAGAGAGCAGGAGGGTAAGGGAACCCAGGAGAACTGCTCTGCCACGAGGCTCTCAGTCTCGGGTTTTATGGTGATGGGATTAGTTTCCAGGTTGTCTCTGACCAATCATTGTGACTCAGGGTCCTTTCTGGTGGCGCATACATCACTCAGCCAAGATGGATTCCAGCAAGGATTCTGGGAGGTTGGTAGGACATATGGACTGGTGACTCCTCTCTCCTTTTGAACTTTCCCAAATTCTTCTGGTTGGTGGTAGCTTATTAGTTCCACATTCCTTACCAGGACCTCCTTTTGTAAGATAACTCATGCAAGTGGCTACTATCTTGCCTGGCCAGGGCAGGTGGTTAGCTTTGTTAGTGGTTCCCCTAAAAAAGCTATGCCAGAAAACACATCTAAAATGGGACAAGGTCTTGCCAATTGCTCTCTGTATGCTGGTGGCCCCTAGAAGCGGGCTAGGACTGAGCCCTTATGGAATTATATACAGGAGACTTCTCCTGATGCCAAAATCTTGGCTCTCTGTGCAACGCTGTCGAACAGAAATATGGAGACAGTTATGGAGGAAAAGAAAGAGTGGCTTTGCTTCTTTGCCAGACAAAGAGGGAACACAGTAGGCCAGTGCCTCAAGATCTGTGCCCCACTCCCTTGGGAATAGGGAGACGTCTTATAGTCGGGGCTCCTGGTCAGGGATATGTGATAAGGATCAACACAGTAACAGTCCTGCATTCTTCTTTCTTCTGCAGAGTTTCAAAAGGGTGGGGTTGCTGACAAGATTAGGGTGTGTGCAGGGTCTCAGTGGAGGGTCTCCTCATCTAGATGAGCTCCTCTGGTCCCTTTAATCTCACCTCAGGTGGTTTCCTGACTGCTCCTCCTGTGATTAGCAACTGTTCGAAACTGCCCTTTGGAACTCAGGGAAGCTCATGGAGGCTGGAGTCTTGCCTACAAGAAATGGGGGTCAAAAAGGCCTCCATGCCTGGGAGCCCCATAGGGGCTCCCAGCAACCCCACCCTTGGGAAGCATTGTTATAAAACTCCTTATCAAATCCTCCTGGGTTGGGACACGTAATTTTTTGGGGCAGGAGCCCACTGTGCCCCCCTTTTCCTGGAAAAGCAATGAAGCTATTCCTTTCTACTTCACCCCAAAACTCTGTCTCCGAGGTTTGATTTGGCGCCAGTGTACAGAGAAGCTGAGCTTTTGGCATCATCCCTGGCCACAGGATTAATTATGCTAAATAAATCCAGAATTTAGGAAGCACGGGTTCCATAGCTAAGTAACTCTCTGGGATATAGTCTGTTTGGTGACATGAGAACCTCATTAGAGACCTCACATCTATAGTCATGGGTCAGAGGGTATATGAGTTTGCTAGGGCTGCCATAACAAAATACCACAGACTGGGTGCTTTAAACAACAGAAATTGATTTTCTCACAGTTCTGGAGGCTAAAGTCCAAGATCATAGGGTCAACACGTGTGGTTTCTTTTGAAGCTTCTCTTTTTGGCTTGCAGATGGCTGCCTTCTGCTCTGTCCTCACAAGATTGTCCCTTGGTCACCAGTCATACCGGATTAGGATCCACCCACATGACCTCATTTTATCTTAATTACCTCCACAGGCCCTATCTCCAAATGTTGCCGAAATCTCGGCTTCTCTGTGCCCCGATGCCAAACAGAAATACAGAGACGGAGATTTTGAAGGATGAGAGAGAGAGAGCCTTATTTTTCTGTCAGGCAGAAGGGAAGACACAGCAGGCTAGTGCCTCAAGAACTGTTCCCCCCTCCTTTGGGAATCGGAGAAGATTTTATACGTGGGGCTCGCAGTCCGGGGGGTATGTGATAAGGATCAAAGTAGTGAAGGTCTTGCATTCTTTTTCCTTTGCATTATTTCAAAACAGTCATAGCCGATGTCAGGCAGCCCAGTAATTGGGGTCCGGCATTCTGGTAATTGGGTTCGTTTGTCTCTGGTTTATCGGCCAGCAACCTTCTCTCTGAAATGCAAAAGCTACAGGGGGTGATTTGTTACAAGGGGGCATAGGGAATGTAAGCCCTGGGATGTAATAAGGTTAGGGAGTGATAGGCACAGGATGTAACTCACGCAGTTCGGGGTGATAGGTGCAGAATGTAATTTACATAGTGTCAGGGAGTGAGGTTAATTTTGCGAAGTATAAATCTAGTTACAGATACTACAGACGAATGACAGTTAAAACTAGGAGTGATTAACTCTTTCAGGCCAGGTTACATTTCTTCTCTAGCTTGTTCACTGTTCCCTTTGTTTTCATTGCTCTCAGGAAAAGAAAAACTTCATTTCTATTTTTGCTGCAACACAAATACAGTCACGTTCTGAGTACTAGGATCAGGACTTCAATATATGAATGTTAAAGGGACACAATACAGCTTGTAACAGGGGGTATGTGTCCAATGAAGGAAGGAAGGGCCTGTAGTGCCAAGTGAGATTTCCCAGACCTCTGCTTTGTCTGATCATGTCTCTTCTGACTAAAAAAGTATTCACAACCTAAAAGTTGAGAGTTGTGTTTCATTTGGCAGGAAGTTTTAGGACTTCAAGCCTGGGAGGCAGCATCTCAAGTAACCCTGAGAGAACTGCTCAGGAGTTCTGAGGAGTTGAGGGGAGAGCTAGGATATATAGGAGTTTTGCAACAAGGGGCAGGTAGTCGGAACATCAGAAGATTACTGTTAATTAAAGAAAACCAGATATCCGGAGTTAAGGAATTTAGCGCTTTTCTATGTATGGGAAGATGCAAGAGTCTGGCCTCACTGAAATCATTCCTTTGAAATGCACCTCAGCTATCTGGGGCCAGTATCCGGTGTTTTTACATCCTGAGTTTCCTCAGGGCTCACCACAGAGAATGGCTGCAGGCTGATGGCTGCTAGATGGCAGGTATTCTTCCCTTCCTGAGTTCCCTCAGGGCCACCAGATCTGGCAGTGGCTGTAATCATTGATGACTGTGACATCCTTTGTCTACCGGTAAGGCAGGAGATATTCCATTTATCATCTCCATGATCTGCATCTTTGACCTTATTAGTAAAGCTTGATGCTGGTAAGATATCTGATTCACGTGAATCTGATCCTGGGTGTTAGCACCAGCTGTATCTGTACTGTTTACTTTTTAGAAAAATAGACTGGGAGCCACTGTGAAAAAAATATTAGTGCCTGCATTTGGATGTCTGCTATAGCATTTTTTGTAATTTTCGCTTTCTTTAAGTTTCTCAAAATAAAAATAAAACAAGAGGATGGGGGTAAGGAAACGTATGCTTGAGCAAAGGTAGGAACATGGGGTACAGGGGGACAAAAAGGTGTTAAATTAATTAAACAAGGAAGCCATTAGACTGATGTGGCTCTAATGCCCTGGGCAGTCTCTGTAAGCAGGCCGAATCTAACCCTGTAAATGCCTCAAATTTCGGAATTCAAAGGTAAGAACCAAACCCAAACAGACAACTAGGCTTTAACGTATAGCCAATGAATAATTTCCTTGCTTTGCCTTTACTCTATAAAAGTCTCTCCTTAGTTCCTGGAGCACCCTAACTGAAAGGAGTAGGCCTATTTGGAATTATTTTATTGTACTTTTTAAAAATGTGCATTAAAATCTAAAACTCCAAGCCGTAATTGTCTGTAGAAATGGCAGGTGACAAACTAAATATTTTTAAACCTTTCTGACTTGGCTCTGATGAGCACCGCCCTCTCACGTGTTCTTTTGATATTCCACTATACGCAAGCCATCTGTGGGTGAATCATCGGGTGGCTAATAAAGAAGAACGGTGAAGAAGACAGTCTGCAGCCCACCAAAAAAAATACTTTAGCATTGTTCTTAAATATTTACGTACTTTTAATTTCTCCAGGGCCAGAGAGGTTTACGAACCCAAAGCGCACAACAGCTGGGATCGCAACAGCGAGGGTAAAAGCGTCCTGAGAAGTCGGTGACCAGCCAGGTGGTCCCAGATCACGCCCGGTCACGATTTAGGATTCCGCAGTTACAAAAACCAATCCCTCCGCCGGCCCACTAGCGGCCCCGGACCCGGGGAAGCGGGGCCAGGAAACGCACCAATGCGCAGACTCCGCGGCTGCACGCAGGCGCACAAGGGAGAGGCCGCGAGGGCGGGGCCACGAGGGACGGAGTGCGACAGAGGAGGGCCCCAGGCCCGAGTGGCCGAGGTTGGGGCCGCTCCGTCTCTTACGCCTTCGGAAGGATATGCGGGTGCCCATGGCTTTGCAGGGCGTCTCGGTAGTGGAACTGGCCGGCCTGGCCCCGGGCCCGTTCTGCGGTATGGTCCTGGCGGACTTCGGGGCGCAGGTGGTGCGTGTGGACCGGCCGGGCACCAGCGGCGACCTGAGCCGGATGGCCAGGGGCAAGCGCTCGCTGGCCGTGGACCTGAAGCAGCCGCGGGGAGCGGCGGTGTTGCGGTCGCTGTGCGCCCGGGCGGATGTGATGCTGGAGTCCTTCCGCCCTGGTGAGCCCCAGATCCCGACGCTACGCGAGACCGGACGAGGGACGCTCCCCGAATAAGGGAGGCCGCCGGGCATTTGGGGTTGGCCCGGCACACCTTTGCCCTGTTGCCACCCGAACCCTTTCCGTCCCTGTCTGTCTAGGCCTTCCTGTTGCATTTGATGTTGTTGGTGATCGTTCGCCCACTGAGACCGTCTTCCATACTTGGATTCCGAGATACTGCTGTTGCCTTTGCTCTTCTCATACCTCTCTCTGACTCCTTCCCAGTTTCTCTTTTTTTGAGTCACCCTATTATAGTTGCCATTCTTAATTACTTGAGGATCGTGAACCCTATGAGAAACGATCGAAAGCCATAGATTCTCTCCCCGGAAAGCTGCCTATAGGTACAGTCATTTTGCTACCGTTTGGAGCTTGGTGTACCTCATAACGCCATCCACGGACCCAGGACAACTCCCTGCCTTAAATGCTGGTGTTCCCAAGTTCCAGCTTCTGCTCAATTTCCTTTACACTCTGTTTCTTGGAGCCACCTTATGTATTCCTATTATTTTTACTTTTTACAGATGTTGGCCAAATCTGTAACTGTACCCCCTTTTAGAGCCACAGGCTTCCGGAATACCCAACTCCTGTCCATTTCTACTTAGCCTTCCCCCGGTCACTGCAGCTTCCACGTATTTATTCCAAACTGAGCTCATCATCTTCCCTACTAAAATGGCATCTCTTTGTGTTTTATTTCAGTGAATGGAACCAATGTCCACCCAGTTGCCTGAATCAGTACAATCAGTTGCCTGGTTGTACTACAACCAGGACTCCAAATCTTCCTTTCCCCCTGCCAGCTTTCAGATATCACCCATCCCATCATTTTTCCTCCTTTCTGTGACTCAGGATTCTTTCTCTTCATACCTGCTGCAGCTTCCTTGGCAGCGTTTTTTTAAAGCTGATGTTTGGGTGTAGCACCACTCCGATCTATTCTTAGACAACTGCCACCGTCATCTTGCTCAAGTACAAATACAGAGCTTTGCCTGGTATATAGCAGAAGGCAGTAAATGTTTGGTGAATGAATTGAATGTCTGTGGGCACCAGGCATATTTAAATGTGTCAATTCATTTACCCTCAGATTTGAGGATTATAACAATAATAATTTAGTAATTAGGATTATGTCATAATTTAATAATACCGTATTTGAAGTTGAAGGAGGTTCAGCATGGTTAAATAACTTGTCCACAATCTTGGAATTAGGAGAAGGGTAGAGCTGTGAATACAGACATAGCTGCCAGGGGAGGGGATTGTGGCTGATGTTTATCTAGGTAGAGGAATAAAGTTCTTTTTATTTTATTTTATTTTTTATTGAAGTATACTTGATTTACAATGTGTTAATTGCTGCTGTACAGCAAAGTGACTCAGTTATACATATTTATACATTCTTTTTCATATTCTTTTCCATTAAGGTTTATCACAGGATATTGAATATAGTTGCCTGTGCTATATGTAGGACCTTGTTGTTTATCCATTCTGTATATACCAGTTTTCATCTGCTGACCTGAAACTCCCACTCCATCCCTCTCCCAACCCCCTACCCCCTGGCAACCACCACTCTAGGAATAGAGTTCTTTTGTAACTTATCATAGCTTTATGGAGGCAGAGGCACGTTATAAGCCTGTGGAAAGAGATGAGGCCTGAATCCTGCCATAGGAGCTTCTGAGCTGATAGGGAAGATGGAATATATACGTACATAAATAAGTATAGCAGGCACTGATGCGGATATAGACATAGAAAAGGTCCTGAAAGGAATAGCAGCTTCCAAAAGTGAATTTTTGGTCAAACACCCAGAGTAACTTCCAAAAGAACAGACCATTTCTAATAAATTACTAAGGAGAGAATTTGGGGAACTATAAAGGGCCTGAATAAAGGGATGAAATGTCCACTCTGAGGATTGAAGATGCTTGGGTATGCCTGAAGGGATGCAGGGCAGTGCTGGAGGGAAATAGCATTCTGGGGGTCAGGGGGAAGCCACACATTCCAGAAATGGGGGCCTCACTCTCTGGGTCCTTAATTACTGGCAATACCCTATAAACCCACAGCAAATGTTACTAGTTTTCCTTGCAAGAGTGCTGTTTTATGTTTGCCACAAAGAAGGGATTATACCCATCCTCAATTCATGCTCTCTTAAAAAAAAATTGTAACTTTCCTCAAGGTGTGATGGAAAAACTCCAGCTCAGCCCAGAGATTCTGCAGAGGGAGAATCCAAAGCTTATCTACGCCAGGTTGAGTGGATTTGGCCAATCAGGAAGATTCTCTAGGGTAGCAGGACATGACATCAACTACTTGGCTTTGTCAGGTATGTTGAAAAAAATAATTTCTCTACACATTTTATTTTGTTCCCAGTCAAGATCTACAGTTACACTTATTAAAAAGAATTTTTTTTAAAGTGAAGATTCAAATATTTGCTGGAATCCATAAAGAGCATGTGGTTGTTTAAAAAGGGTTGGTTTGTCTTGGAACAGTCATTCTCAGCCTCCCCCTGCCTTAACACATTGAAGGGGTAATGTGTTCACTAATAACATTTACTGACTACATTTGTGAAGTTAATTCTCCAGCAAGCCCCTGCTAGGAATTAAGAGACTTGTTGGTAGTAGAAATGGTTGCGCTATATTTTGCAAAGATACAGTTTGATTTTGATACCCCTCCTCCCTCACTTTATTGAGAATCATTGACTGTGTCATGATTTTAGAAATTCTATGAATACTAGAAAAAGCCCATGGTTTTCAGGTCATAATATCACCTTACTAGAGTTTTTTGCCTGTAAGAACATATCTTAGGGGCTTCCCTGGTGGCGCAGTGGTTGAGAATCTGCCTGCCAATGCAGACGACACAGGTTCGAGCCCTGGTCTGGGAAGATCCCACATGCCATGGAGCACCTGGGCCCGTGAGCCACAATTACTGAGCCTGCGCGTCTGGAGCCTGTGCTCCGCAACAACAGAGGCCGCGATAGTGAGAGGCCTGCGCACCGCGATGAAGAGGGACCCCCACTTGCCACAACTAGAGAAAAGCCCATGCACAGAAATGAAGACCCAACACAGCCATAAATAAATAAATAAATAAATACATTGTGGGGAAAAAAAAAAAAAAAAAAACCCCTCTCCTCACGCACCAGGAAACAAAGAGGGAAGATAAAGTCTCTTAAAAAAAAAAAAAAAAAAAAAATACATTGGGGGGAAAAAAAAAAAAAAAAAAACCCCTCTCCTCACGCACCAGGAAACAAAGAGGGAAGATAAAGTCTCTTAAAAAAAAAAAAAAAAAAAAAATACATTGGGGGGAAAAAAAAAAAAAAAAAAACCCCTCTCCTCACGCACCAGGAAACAAAGAGGGAAGATAAAGTCTCTTAAAAAAAAAAAAAAAAGGAACATATCTTAGGGCTTCCCTGGTGGCACTGTGGTTAAGGATGTGCCTGCCAATGCAGGGGACACGGGTTCGATCTCTGGTCTGGGAAGATGCCACATGCTGCAGAGCAACTAAGCCTGTGCACCACAACTACTGAGCCTGCGCTCTAGAGCCCACAAGCCACAACTGCTGAGCCCACGCACCACAACTACTGAAGCCTGCATGCCAAGAGCCCGTGCACCACAACGAAGAGTAGCCCCTGCTCACTGCAACTAGAGAAAGCCCACATGCAGCAACAAATATCCAACTCAGCCAAAAATAAATTAAAAACAAACAAACAAACATATCTTAGAATGGCCTAATTCTAGATTTCTAAGAACTGCATTTCTGAGTCAAGGAAGTCTCAAATTTTCTGTGTGTACACATTTAAAGGTTGAGGAAAAGAGTGAGTGTAGAGTTGGCTTTTCTCATCTACTTAAAAATTTAATTCCTTTTCTTGTTCTTGTGTTTATTTTCTTGCATCTCTTTCTAATAAAAATGGAAGTGCATTATACTGTTGTTAAGCCATAAAGTGCTAAGTGGATAGCAACCATTTCCCCCCCAAAACCCAGTGAATAAAAACTTAGCAACAGAATTCTGAAAATGTTAGTTGGAATAAAGTTTTAGAGAAAACAAAAAAAATCAAACAAGGAACCTTGTTAGAGGGAAAGCCTTCTTCTTTTTTTTTTTTTTTTGCGGTACTTGGGCCTCTCACTGTTGTGGCCTCTCCTGTTGCGGAGCACAGGCTCCGGACGTGCAGACTCAGCGGCCATGGCTCATGGGCCTAGCTGCTCCGTGGCACGTGGGATCTTCCTGGACCGGGGCACGAACCCGTGTCCCCTGCATTGGCAGGCAGACTCTCAACCACTGCGCCACCAGGGAAGCCTGGAAAGCCTTCTTATAAATATGCTAACCAGGTTTAGGTTTAGAAAAGCATTAGGTATTAGTTTTCATTTACAACAGTAACTAGAGAGATTGGTTTTCCCCCTAAGATGTTCATGTATTTATTTAAAAGAGGCATTAAATTTACAGTTAGTGTTCCCCAATTTTTTTAATGGTATAGGTGTTTTATCAAGAATTGGCAGAAGTGGTGAGCCTCCATATGCCCCACTGAATCTCCTGGCTGATTTTGGTGGTGGTGGCCTCATGTGTACACTGGGCATCCTGATGGCGCTATTTGAACGCACACGCTCTGGCAAAGGTCAGGTCATTGATGCAAACATGGTAAGTGTTGATTGGGGGAAATGATAAGCCTACTAGTTGTTCCTGAGGTCGATATATGGCTGCCTCGAATCCTCTTCTGAACAAGATGAGATAAAAGATTTGAAATTTGAATCCAAGTTACCAAGGATGGCCTTTTCTTTAAAATAGCTTCATATCTTGAACATGTGTCAGAATGTCATATTTTGCTCATCTGTTTGTGGAGTCAATCTTCTAAACGTTTCATGACTCACCTGATTTCTATGTTGTGTTTCAACAGTTTTCCCCGTGCTGTCTCTTGTGCTTAGGATATGGTTTTCAAGAAATCTTCATTCAAAACTGGGCTCAGGAAGTCTCCCTTAGCAGGTAGAGAAGATTCTTAATGATGCTCAAGTAAAATGGACCAGTCTAGACCTTCCTGCTGCATTGTGTAGGGGAGACTCAAGTGTCATGATGCTTTGGTGTTTTTACCCTCATACACTTGCCTCATGTTATCATAGGCACTTTTCCTGTGTGATTTCTCCTAATCCCCCACACAGCAATTTCACTTGGAATACATTGTTATTTTAATGAAGAGGAAACTAAAGCACAGAAATTTGCCGGAGTTCTCACAGCTAGTTGATGAGAACCCAGTCCAGTGTCACTATACCTTTGCATTTGGGCAAATCTTTGGCGGTAGGGTGGAGAATGGATTGGATGGAGATGACGCTGAGAGAGAAAGGCGAGTACTAAAATGGTTAATGGTAGAATGGGTCTGGATTTAAGGATTTACATTTGAGATGTAAAATTGCTGGGATTTGATAAGATATTGGCAATGAAGGGAGAGGGAGGAATCAGGAATGGCTCCCCCCTCTCTGGCTTGGAAGACCCGGTGGATGGTGGCCCTGGCACCCTGGGGAGGATTGCTGAAGGAAGAGGGTGATTGGGGGAAATAGATACCTTATTCTTTAAATTTTTTTTCTTTTTAATTTTCTTGGCTGTGCTGCACAGCACGTGGGATCTTAGTTCTCCGACCAGGGATTGAACCCTTGCCCTTTGCGTTGGAAACATGGAATCTTAACCACTGGACTACCAGGGAAGTCCCCAGATACCTTATTCTTTTGGGCCAGTAGTTTCCAAATGACTTTAGCAGCAGAATCCTTGATCCAGGCCTGCCTGTGATGACCTGGAGTTGTCTCTTCATCAGACTGTTGCCTTAGAAACTAGAGTTAAGGTAACTGTGGAATGTGCAGTCCATTTTACTGTGTTTACTCCTGATCTGGGGGTGCTCATCTGACCTGGGGGGCTGTGTGTTGGCATGCGGGCCGTTGGCCTACGTGATGAGAACAATATAAAAGGTTGGGAAATTGAGGCTGCAGTTTCCCTGTGTCAAAGGCTCTGGTCCGTGGCAGCACACACTACATGTGTGTGAGGGGAGAAGAGAGCCTCATGATGAGATGAGGATTATAACTGCTGTGTCTCTTGTCCTCTATCCTCCTATGACACCAAGTAAAGGTGGAATTAAATTAGAGGCTGTTTGTATCCTGAGTGAGCCAGACCAGCCCCATAACACTGTTAGGACATCTTTTTTCAATAGACTCATCACTACATCCAGTGTGTAAAAGAGATTATATATGTATATGTATATATATGTGTGTGTCTATACGTGTGTTTGTGTGTGTATGTCTAAGATCTCTGTAACCCCATTTCAAAAAAAAGCACCACCACAGGCCACTTACACAAACTCCACTACTTGGTGACAGCAAATGTCGGATCCATGAATTGAAGTGTGCATGAGTTTCCTCAGGTTAAACGGGAAAACTGGGATGTATCTAAAGATATATTTTGTGTTTGTTTTATCACAGCCAGAATCTGTGAGAAGTCCCATGCTCACAGTTGGAATGGGGCCCCTCCGTTGGTAACCTCAGAGACAAGGATGCTTTGATGGCCTTCTCCCTGTGGTGCCAGAATCATTAGGATCATAAAGCCATAAGGATAGGGAGTAGTCTTCTTTAGATAGCGCAGTGCATCCAGCCTTGTGATAATCATACCTGAGTTTGTGAATCCATTCCCGTTACTTTAGGACTAGTGGGAAGTTGGCATTCCCACACTAGTTTGTCCGTACTCTGAAAACCCATATACCTGCCACCCATACCGTTATGTTTATTTTGTAACTTTCTAGTGATTATTAAAGTTAAGATATATTAAATACTCAAATTTGTTTTCTTGGGCTTGGAGTCAAACGAGAACAAACTAAATTTAACTCATGTGATTTACCTTTAAAATGTGATATGCTTCATATATCTGTGTGTATGTGTTTGTAGGTATTGAGATCAGATGATAGATTTTTAAAAAAACCTTTTTGCTTTGTTTTCACCTTTTTTATCCTGACAGTTGTTAACATATATAAAAGTAAAGAGAATGTATAATGAACTTCCATGTACCCTCACTTAGCTTCAAAAATTATCAACATTCTGCCAATCTTATTTGAAAGGAAGAACAAAAGTAGTTCCTTTAAGTCTTTTCTGAACAGTATTCCCTGATCTGAATAGTGCAGAAACTCACTCTGTCATAAGCCTGCTCTAACTCACTTTCTTGAAATATCAAAGAAGTTGTATAATTAGATATAATTTTCCTATATTCTAAGGTAAACATTTTTATATAAATATTTTTTAAAAACTCAAGTAGAAATCGATCATGCTCTTTATAGTTGAATTGTCTGGATTCATACTGTATTCTGTTTCTTCAAAGATGGAAGGAACAGCATATCTTGGTTCTTTTCTGTGGAAAACCCAACAAACAGGACTGTGGGGACAGCCTCGTGGACAGAACATGTTAGATGGTGGAGCGCCTTTCTACACAACCTACAGGACGGCGGACGGCGGGTTCATGGCTGTTGGAGCATTAGAGCCCCAGTTCTATGAGCTGCTGCTCAGGGGTGAGTACCTCTTTTCTGTGGATGTTTTTTAGACTATTTTGGAGTCTTTTGAAGTTCATGATGTCTTTTGTTATATGTCCACTTTATAATTAACCTAATTATAGCCATCATTATATTGTGGGGCACTTCCCCCATCTTTTAAATTGACAAGTAAATTTACAAGTCTGTAAAATAGCTCAGATTAAAAAAATAAGAATCCTTTTTGTGGTAGTTCAGTATTTGTATCACATTTCGTCCTCCGTAGGATTGGATATTTATCCTGCCCTTGTGTGCCCACATCCTTTTCTTCCCTAGAAATGATCTACTGGTTCTACCAGTTTTTGTTCCTTGATAGATGTCCCTCATGGTACTTCAGTGACGGGGTCATCAGAGCACAGAGAGACTTTGGTGAATGAGAGTTTGTTGGAATATGTTACCATCACTTGATGCTTCTGCAGTTTCCCTTTCTTGCAGATTCTTGTCTTATTGACATGTTGCCACAAGTTAGCAGGAGAATTTGGGATCCCCTCTTCCCTAATTGATAATTGGACTGAAGTTACTTCGTTCCTGTGAAATGTGAATATAAAGTTTACAGATAATTTAGTATCTAAGAAGTTTCAGAATATACTCTGAAGCAGTGTGACAGGCTGGTTGCAGCACATTGATCTTTCAGCTTTAAGTTTGGAGTTTTGTCGCCATGTTTGGTAGCTTTTCAGATGCGCAGTGCTACTCAGTTATTTGTATATCGCTGAAATGACTGTTTTTGCTAGCCTCAGAAAGCATTCTGTGATAAACTATATTAACTTCACCAACTTAACTATAAGTTAGAGAAACCATAGAACAAAATGGTTTATCTAGATCGTAGAGGATGCCTTTCTGTCCAGAAATTAAGACTAAGACTAGAGGTCAATTCAAAATTCTGGACAGAGCAATGCTATACGAGGGGCTGAGTGGTGGGAACAACACTCCCACTCTGGGGTGCAGGGCCCTAGGAAGCAGCAGGTACATAACATAGTGGAGTCTGTGCCTTACAAAAACCTTGTGTTTTTGTCTATAGGGAATTTAAATATAATAATAAAATTAACTAATCTTCAGTGAAATTTTATTATCACCATGCACAGGCAATTCTAAATGACAGTTGCAACTGACTTTTTTTTTTTTTTTTTTGACACATGTCTCAGCAATAGGGCAGTGTAAGCTCTGAGTCAGATCAAATAAAGACAAACCCTGAGGATGGGGATTTTCAGGGAGCTGTCAGACAGGCCAAACATTGGCGCTTCTCTGGGGATAGGATTTTGCGGGAGCTTCAAACTCATTTTGCCTCCTCTTCCTTGGCTGTTAACCTACTGGCTTTCACGACAACCATTGTTGAGAGCCTGTTGGTTTTCAAGGCCATCACAGAGCTGGGGAGAGAGGGATGAAATTAGCCTAAGTTATAACACCACAAAGCTCACTGGTCTTACTGAGTTCAGTCATTTTTTTTCTTAAATATGCTCCTTAGATTGTTGCAAGCTTTTAGTTAATGTCTAGAGTTACGAAAATGTTGATTCTGACAATTTGTGCCAATGTTCTTGTTGCTTTCATGCAGGAGCCAAGTTTTGAAGGTCCTTGCTCTGTCATTTCAGAATTTAACTCCTCTCTGTGGTGTATTTTGTTGTTTTCTTAAAAACATACATGTTTAGAATGATCATGTCTAACATCCACACTCCACCTCATTTTATAGCAGGCAGACTGCTCCAGCCCTTGACTTGTGATAATCTTCTCCCGGGTTTCCTCTTTCTGAGTCTAAACTCTGTAACCCCTCCGGTTGTTTTGCAGTCGCGGCCTTTTGTGGTATCTTTCATGTCCTCTCTCCCTTTAAAGTTCACTAAGGATCCTTAGCTGGCAGGTGGCTTGTGCTTTAGGCAGACTTAGCAATTTCAGTCAGCTTTTGTTTAATCTACATAGTCCATGCGAAATGCCTCAGCATCTTCTTTCTTCTACAATATTGATTTGCAAAAATAGTACTTTTACTTGTCCCATACACATTACTTCTCTCTCAGGCCTAACTGGACAAACCCCCCATATCTGTAATAATTTTTTGAGGTAGTATTAATTTATTTATTTCACCTTATATACTGAGATCTTTGAGAACATACCTTCATTTAGCTCTCAGTATCTGAGCATAAATACACAAGGTTTTTGTAAGGCTCCGACTCCTCTGTGCTATGCCCCTGCTGCTTTCCAGGGCAAAGAAGTCTGAAAGTACTGAGAATTTCATGACCTCTTGAGACTCTTGTAGTAAATCAGATAAGCAATAGGGAATATTTTTTTCTTTCTTTTTTTTTTTTTTTTTTTTT